CGATGTTGATTCCGCCATTTTAATTTTTATGTTTTCGTCATGTAATAATGAAAGTTTTCGTCCTGCCTTTTTATGGTAGTGATAAGTTTAGCCTATTAGGCTTGATCCTATGCGGTGTTGTGAGTGACTCTAGTGCTCTGGGTCTTTTTGTTTCAATCGACTGGTTTAATCCATCGACTGTAGTGGTTTTGTTAAACGAGCCTTTATCGCGCTTGGTTATTAATGTGCCAAGCGGGTCCTTCCCTATTGGGACTCGACACTCATATTCATCTATGTGCTTTATTTATCTTTACTAGTGGATCTAACATGTGGTCGAATACTTTTGTATTTAATGGTCATTTACAATTATTTTAGAGTTCATATTAAGTTAATTATAAAATGAAATTTCCCCATTTAAAATAAAAAGTTTTTGGAATATATATATATATATATATATATATTTTTTTTTAGGTTCGACACAGAGACCACAGGATAAGGACCATTATCGGTCATTAAAAGATTTAACGACAGTTTCTAAAAATTTGTTAATTTCATAACCAATAAATTTCTCCTACTCATCAATGAAGAATTTTTTACCATCGTTTGAGAGACACGTTGGTGTGAGACTTTGAGCAATAGTGTTGGCTGGATTTGGTCAAGTTTGATTTCAGAATGAGATTGGGGGCTTGGCATTGTGGTTGAGAGGAAGGCCCTTCTTCTAATTTTTTTTACCTTATATTTTTCAGCAAATAACTTTTTGGCCACCCAAAAGTCAAGATTCCATGCAAGTATTATCTTTTTATGTTAAAAAGAAAATAGGTTAGAGGATTGAAACCCATCGGTGACTTATAAAATGAAGGCAGTTTTTTTTTTTTTTTTTTTTTTTTTTTTTTAAAACTTTTCTTGCGCTATTTCACCACCGAGATACTCCCACCATATCACTTAAAGAAAGAAATAAAGAAATAAAGAAATAAAGAAATAAAGAAATAAAGAAAGAAGGAAATTGATAGTAAATAGCAGATTTTTCAAGCTTAAAGTAGTAAATAGCATAATATTAGTTGTTTAGTAAATAACAGATGACTAGGGCATGTTCGTTTAGGTAGTTTTTGAGTGAAAAACTCAAAAAAAGGTAACTCGAGTTACAACTTTATTCAAGTTTATGTTCTTTTAAGTTTGAACTCGAGTTTGAACTCAAGTTTGAATTCGAGTTTGGAACTAAAACTCGAATTCAAGTTTCCTCTTCAACTCGAGTTCAGAAACTCGAACTTAAGTTAATGAACAATATTTTTTTCTATTCTTAAAAATGCTATAACTTTTTCATTTTAATTCTGATTGAGATGATTTTTTTTTCTATGCGTTGACAACGAAAAGACGAATAAAACTAGACCTATATACCCTATTAAAATTTTTCATTAGCATTGAGTTTTTTTTTAAAATACTATCTAAAAACAAATTCAAGTTTTGACTTACTCAAACACAAACTCAAAAAAGATTCTTATCTCAAACCATAACTCAAATGTACACAACCAAACACAAATTCAAGTTACAACTTCAACTCAAGTTATAACTCAAACTTAACTCAAAATTTACACTCAAGTTACCTAACTCAAAAATATAAAAAGAACAAGCCCTAAAAATTTACACATATTTTAAAATTTTAATAATATGGTGTACCAATTAGTGATAAGGAGAGAGAAGATGAGAGTTTGTGATGATGATGAGAGAGAATGAGAGAAAAAGGAGAGAGAGTGAATGTGGTAAATGTTGCATTTACCTGATAAATCCTTCATTTACCATACAAACCCAACATCTGCATTTTCGTAAATAATGATTTTACCATGTGAACTGACAATTTACCATAAAATAACATTGTTTACAACATCAAAACTTCTGTTTGACTGGTAAATCCCTCATTTACCACGTTAGACCTCTATTTATCAAATTTAATAGATTTTTGTATGTTGATAAATGCAGCATTTACAAGGTACATTTTATATTTACCAACATTGTCGAACTTGGAGAACTACTCGACAACGATCATAGATCATGATCTCCAATCTGGATATCTCAAACCATGATTTTTGGCTCCCAGAAACGCCGCATGATCTCTGATATGGAGATCTCAAGCGTAGGTCAACTCTAGACATCTTCGCCAGCATCCAAAATCGTCTTATCCAGATCTGGTGCATCGTCTTCACCGGAAACAGAAACGGAGAGAGAGAGAGAGAGAGAGAGAGAGAGAAGAGAATTGATGGAGAGAAAGAGAGAAGAGAATAGAAAGAGGAGGGAGAGAAAGAAGAAGATGTAGGGAGAGAAAATGTAAATTAACCTGGTTTAAGGTTTTATGACATTTAATAAACTTAAATTTAATATTAGCTATAAATTTAAATTACCCCTTCAAGTTTTGCTATTTTCCTCATCCACTTAGAATTTTAGCTACAAATGATTTTGTAGTTATATGTAATGTATTTGCAGCTAGAAGAATTAGCCACGTAACTTTTTTTTTTCTTTATGGTCTATTAATTAGAGGTGTTCATGAAATTTGTGAATCCGACTAGTCCACTTGGATTGGATTGAGAAGGGCTTTGGATTGATAATGAATTAAAAAAACTCTATCTAAAAGTTTTGAATTAGTTTCTCATATGTATAATATATATATTTATAGATTGTTTTAGTTAAGTTTTTATTTTTTTGAAAATAAAATCTTTGTATGTATATAATATTGTAATTTGTTTTCTGATTCTACAAGTTTAGTGCCAAGCACATATGTTCTTTTGTTCTACACAATGAAGATTTTATTTTGAGTTTTATTAAATTTAGTTTGTTATTGTTATTAGGGTTGTAATAATTTGGAATTTGTTGAACTATTTATGTGATGCTATATCTACGTGGGTTTTAGATATTGCAAACTTTTTATTTTAAAGTAATATTAATGAATGATGAATACTTTTTTGTGTTTAATTAAGTTGTTTGGACGTTTAATATACTTATTAATTTGAAAAGTCAAAATCCGTAAAATCCATAAATCCAACCCTCGAAATCTAATAGTTTTGAATTGGCAATGGATTGAAATTTTTCCAATCTGACAGAGATATTTTTCGATTGGATTGTGGATATAACCCTAATCTATGGATTTGAGTATGTGAAGACCCTAGTTAAATTGTAGCTATAGAGTCAACAATAAATGTAGCTAGTGACAACTTTTTGCATTTGTAATTAACTATGATACAATTATTCGTAAGTATGATTTTTGTAGCTAAATATTATTTTTACCTATAAATAATTTTGTCGTTTAAAAGTAAAAACCAGTTATTTGTGGACAATTCGGCCAATTTATAGTTAAAAGGTGGTCCTTTAACTACAAAACGAATCCTTTGTTACTAATTCTGAATTAGTAACTACTAATTCTTAATTAGTAACAACTAACAAAAGGTTAATTTTGTAGCTAAACTACTAGCTAAGAGGCGCACGTGCCATCAGGCTAGGATCTTTTTAAAGTTTTTTATTTTATTAAAGTAATTAAACATTGTGGAATTCTTTTTTTTTGAATGAATGAGTGGCCTAATTACATAATAGTCACACAAGAAAATGGAGTTAAAACAAAGCTGACATTTCTGCTTCTTCCAATAACTAAAATCTGGAGGTATTCTATTTGTACATAGTATGATAAATGTGATAGACAATTGTTTTTAATAATTTTTGTTTTTGGCATTTAAATGAAAACCTTTTTTATATAACTACTTCTGTAACGCCCATCTTTTTCTTTAACAGGTTAATGAGGAATTTAACGGTGTACTATGATGATAATTGGATTTTATGATACTTAAATTAAGTAAACTAACATTTCTATCTTGTAGGTGACGGCAACGTGAGATCGATGTGCCTAAAGTGTTCATGTCAAATTATATGTTAAAATGAAATTTGATTTATGTTAGTGTTTCCCATTCGGATTGGCTTCATCAAGGTTCTACTCTTCGTCTTTATCTTTTCACTATCGTGATGGACGAGCTCACAAGAGAAATTTAAGATGAAATTCGTTGGCGTATGCTTTTTGTAGACGATATAGTTTTAGTTGATGAACATCGGGAGGGAATTAACTGTAAGTTAGAACTATGGAGACAAACCCTTGAGACGAAGGGGTTTAAGTTAAGTAGAACGAAGACTGAGTACATGCATTGTAGGTTTAGTAATTTGAGAGATCAGAGTGATGGAATTTCTTTGGATTGTGTGGTGATTGGGGCTTTTAGGAAATTTAGGTACCTTGGGTCCATTGTGCAGTGTGAAGGGGATATGGATGAGGATATTGGACATATGATTAAGGCGGGGTGGGTTTAGTGGAAGAATGCCACGGGAATTTTATGTGATGATAATATGCCTATTAAGTTGAAAGAAAAATTCTATAGGACATCAATTCGCCCAACTAGGTTATATGTTAGTGAATATTGGGCTATCAAGAGACAACAAATATACAAGATGAGTGTGGTGGAGATGCGTATGTTAAGATGGATGAGTGGTCATATGAGAATGGATCGCATACGGAATGAAGTTATTCGTAGTAAAGTATGTGTAGCACCAATAGAAGATAAGGTGCAAAAAAACCGTCTAAAGTGGTACGGGCATGTACAACGTAGATCGTTAGATGCACATGTTTGTGCTTCGGAGAACATCCAAATACCTAGTACTAAGAGAGCGATGGGTAAACCAAGAATTACTTAGGCTGATGTAGTTAGGTACGACTTTCAAGATCTAGGACTTCAGAAAGGTCTCGTATTTAATAGAGCATATTAGAAACAAAAAACTATATAACTGACCCCAGATTAAGGCTTGTATTTATTGTTGTTGTTCTTATTCTACATTTATTAAATTGAAATTTGTGTACCACGTTTTAATTAATTGCTATATATATATATACATATATATATATATGTATTTATTCATTATTCAATAAATAATAAATGAGACACATTATTCAATGATCAATACACACTAGCATTCCAAGAGGTAAACAACTCATTTAAAAATGGGGGGAATCTCAAATACAACAAAATCTCTACTATTCTTGTCTGGACCAGTCCCCGCTC